AGAAATGAATGGAAAACAGTAGTTAACAAAGAAACCATGGAAGTCATACATATTCATTTCCATTGTCATTGTTTCACGGAATAATTTAAGAGTATAAAGTTTTGAAGTTTAACTTTTCTAGCGTTATTGTTTATTAGAAGATTATACATGTTTATACATTATACGTCCGAATTCCTTTTCTTGCCTACATCAAAAACAATCCTTTGAAGAATGATTTGAACAGATGTGGATAGACATTAAATGGGGATGGGTACATATATCTCCAGTCTTAACCCGGCTGTCTTTAGTACAAGCTTGTAAAAGTGAATTTTTCCCATGTGCAACTATGTCAAACTTTAACCAATATTTTGATCCCACCTTTAGTAATGAATCCCTGATGTCAACAAATTTGAAACCAGATCCAAAAAATGATACCTGCATATTAATGCAAATAACTGCCGCCCTGTGGACTTTAAGTACAAGATATTCTTTTAAAAATTCTAGACCCTCCTGGACCTTGTTTGATCAGACTTTTAAAAAAATGATTTAGGGCCGTTCTGTTTCTGAGTAGATTTTTTTTAAGAAAGAGAGTGGCGTAAATACATAAAAACTCCAAGGGACTTTTAGAAAATTTGAAATCACATTTTCTTACCAAAATCAATAACAACTTTTCAACACTTAATACAACCATTCCTCACGATAAATTAAAGTCCAGATTTTTGTCATCATTGACAGCTGCTTTTGCAATAAAAATAGAACTCGTAAATTTACTTACCTTGTCAATGGTCATTTGCAACATTATTTTGTTTAAAAAACATTTTGATTGTATACACAAGTACTCTGAAGTTGACATTTAAAAGATGCTTGAGTCTCTAATTAAGAAGATCTATGTAGTTTTTGGAGACCAAGTCCTCCAACAATCTGTCGGCATTCCCATTGGTACCAATTGCGCCCCGTTATTAACAGAACTATTTTGTACACATATGAAGCAGAATTTATTCATAATCTCATACATGTGAAGAAAACACTTGCTGAGCCCTTCAACTCGTGATTTAAATATACGTATTATCAATTAACAATTTATTACTTCCATTCATATGTCGACTCGATTTATTCCAGTGAGCTTGAAATAAAAGATATGACAGAAGCTGACACATGTGTTTCATATTTGGATATATTACTAGAAAAAAAACAACTAAGCTTTATGATAAACATGATGACTTCAACTTTCCAATCGTCAACTTCCCTTACTTATGTAGCAATATACCCTCATCACCTGCATATTGGGTTTTTCTCTCTCAGTTGATTCGATACGCAATAGCATTATCTACGCACAAACAACAATTTCTTAAACGAGTCAAGCTAATGACAAACAAGTTGATGAAACAAGAATATCAACTGTCTCGTTAAAAGTCATCATTTTGCAAGTTCTATGGTCGATACAATGACCTTGTCAGCAAATACAATTTATCATTAAGTCAAATGTTTTTTATACACTAACTGTTAGGTCATTTTTTACAAACTGAATTGTCTATGGTTTTTCCTTTTCTCCCGATCATAAACAAGGAGCATACGTCTGGTGTGACCAGTCGGCAAAGGATGCACACTCCTCCATGGCACCTGATCCCACCTCTGATGTTTTAGAGGTCCTTGTTTGCTCTGCTCTTGTTTTGTATTGTTTGATTGGACTTTTGAGCTTTAATACTGTTTGTAATCTCCATATTTAATCCATATACATGTATATATTCCTATGTCACACATTCATTATATATTGTATACCTTTATGTCGTCAGCCAGGAGCAAAAATTGCACATTCTTGATTCTTCGCTACATTTTAATGTCGGTAAATCATTACACACTATTTGTCATTTTTATCTTTTTCAAAAGAACATTTTAAAAAAGAGGGTTTTTTTATTTTTATGTCAAACTGAGACCAGGTGTTTTAGCCCCTACCTGAGGGTTAGGGCTATGTTTTAAATAACTTAAAGCTATTGACAATATGCTAATTAAGACAGTTGAGCCCTTACAGAGATTTGCTCATAGATATCTTTTTTGAAATAGCGTATTTTTTAAACTTATGCCTTATCGTTCCAATTTTGTTTCCCATATGTCACGATATTGTCTTTATAATGGCTGTTTCTACGACGTTGGAAAAGGCTTTCCTGCTTCCGATGGTTATTGCGCAGAACCTTGCAAACTCATTGTACAATAATGCACTGTCGTTAGTATTACATGTATAAATAATTTTGGTTGCCGAAGGTATAACATGTTTCAGTACATTGGTTGCCCAACGTATCACATGTATAAGTTTATTGTTGTCATTAGTATTATCTGTATAAGTGCATCAGTTGCCATAATTGTTCATGTATAAGGACAATGGTTTCGGTAGGTATTCATTTAAAGGTGTTTCATTGCCTAAGTATAACATAAATAAGTACATTGATACGTGAGTATTACATGTTTAAGGACAATGGTTGCCGCAAGTACTACACCCCTAACAAAAAATACTTCAGTTAACTAGAGTTAACTATAGTTTACTATAATTTCCTTTAGTATCAAAGTTTTTACTATAGTAAATCGAAGTATTTTTATTATGGGTTTCAGATTGTTCTATTTGATGTTCTTCAATTTAAACATGCACGAATTTTTTTATATTTGTTGCAATTTTACTATCACTTGTACATTCACACATTATTTCCAAATTTTACATTATTATTATTATTGAATTTAAGAGATTTTAAGTTTTAAATCTCTTTTAAAAAGTTCTAAAGTAAAGTTTCATAGTAAATAAAGGTATCAAAAGCATTTAACTATAGTAAACTATAGTTAACTTAAGTAAATTTTTGTTAGGGATTCAAAAGTACATTAGATGCAGTGGAGGCCATAAATATTACATGGATAAGTAGAACGGTTGCCGTAAGTATAATATGCACAATGAATGGCTGACTCCAGTAAATGTAAGTTTAATTTATTAACGACTGCTAGTCGTCAGTATAAAATCCTCACCCATTGATTGTCATGTGTTTATATTGCACACTTAGTTGTAGTTGGCACTTTTATATAATTTTTATTAAACTATTCCTAGTTCTATTCCAACATCATCCATTTTTAACAGTAAATCGTATTAAAACTTAATCATTTTTGGTTTGTTATTTAGCTGATCTTTGCGGAGCTTCCAATAGAACCAGGTAACGGCATTTTACCTTCTGAAAGATGGGGATATAACAGTTTCACCAATCAGTGTGGAAGATTTTCCTATAGAGGCTGCGACGGAAACAACAATAGATTCATAGCTGAAGGCCAATGTCTCCAGCGTTGTGGAGAAAGGACAGGTAAGTTAGACACAAAACTATATATTTAAATTCGTTCATAAGGAACACGCTAGTAAGAAAATTATGACAAGGAGCACACGATCGGCAGGGATGCTTAATCCTCCATGGCACCTGATCCAACCTCTGATGTTTTAAGAGGTCAACGTTTGTTCTGCTCCCGATTTGTATTGTTTTTATTGACTTTGAGCTTGAAGACTGTTCGTTATCTTCATACTTTATGGAAAACTTCTAACTTACAACGCTGTGACAAGCGTGGTGTAAGAGGACTGTTAGATACAGAACTTTGCAGTAAAAGTCGGATATAAAGATGTCACTTGTGGGAAAATCTTTGTATATAGAGCTTTTCTTGAATCATGTAGAAAGTATTGCACTATATTTTTCATACTTTAAAAAGAAGGTTTGTGATATTGAAGCAAAATTTGATGTCAACTTGACTTTTACGAAATACTGGTGCCAATTTCTCCATTGCTGTGAGAGAAAATTGCACGTTAACGATAAACTATGAATAGTTCTCTCCAGGTGAAAAGAAATTAAAGTTAACAATTGACTCTACACGTTTGTTGCGTGGAAGAGATATAATTATGATTTTTTAAATTTTGTTTCGCAAATGACTGGTAAACATCCGTTTTAGAATTAAATTGACTCATTCATCAGTTAATCCTATTTTGTTCTTTTTTTCATGGACAAAATTTAGAATTGGCTGATTTGAAGAATCTGATTTTAATTGTTTATTCTTTTTTCGGAGAACAATAAAACAAGATTTTACATTTTATGATGTGTTGACAAGGACGAACGCTACACATTTAAAGGCGTGTATCATTTTTCCTGCATGTTATATGACTTCATAGGTGTATTTTCTTGACTAGTAGAGCAAAACAATTACATATTTATGCTTAACTTATACGAAATAGCTATTTATATTTCTGTTTAGTTTTTTAGGGATGTTCAATAAAGCATGTTGTAAATAGTAGGATCTCCATAAGCCGTTCATTGTAAATTACAATATGTATATGATTGTGTATTGCATATGTATTTTGTATACAAGGAAAGTTTCACCCTGTTTTCCACCAAGACACAAGTGGGCGAATTTAAGATAGGGAAAATTATAATTTCTTAAACAAAACTGTGAATGGTCGAAACTAAAATGGGGCAAAATTGTTTGCAAGTGTGAAAGGGTGAAAATATTAATAACCCTGTATACAGTATATTATCTTACACAATACATACATATGTGTATCACCCGACTGATGTATTGATTAGAAAATCAAGAGAATATTGTGGATACGATCAACTTTTAAGCCGAGGCCGACTACTGAGAAATAATTTGATGTTACAGGACTCTGCAATTTCATTAACTTAAAAGGCAGCAATTAGCAAATACAATCCCATCTTTAATGTTTCAACTTCTCTTCTTTGTTTACAGGATTTTGTTACATCCCCCGGTTTCATTCAATTATCAACCTTTCCATGTGAAAGTATTTTGAAGTAAGAAAAGACATTTCTAATTAATTTACACCCTTTTGTAATGTAAATTTAATATAGAAATTTAAGAAAAATCTATGTATTTAGTATAGGGACCCCCTACAAAGAATTATAATTGTTCCAAATATCTGAAATAAAAGCATTTATTCAAAATCAGAAAAATAGAATATAAAGGTTATCTACATTGCTCATCAGAGAAATCTGTTTTCAAACTTTTTTATTGAATCGACTGTTTTTCACCCCTTTTTTCATCCTCATCTGTTGAGAAACAAAAACAAAAATTACAGAAATATAAAGAAGGAATATAAATTATGTACCTTGGATGAAAACAAAAATCCCTATCATATAATAACAAATTATCTGCGTAAAACGTTCACAAACACAGAGTATATGATGTATATTAGATATTACGAGAGATTATATAAATATTACCCACAGGTTGCGTATATATTACATTATTACGTAGCGATTACACAGAGATTACGTAGCGTACCTAGTGACGTACCTAGTGACGTTTGATCATCAGTATCGTCTTTCTCACAGATGCCCCTGACACAACTGTTGGAAACCAGGGTGCTCTCCATTCCTCTGATAACCAGGGACCATTGAGAAAGGCGAGGTAACATTCGTTAAACCACCATTCTCCCCCTCCTCCACGATCAACAGCACAGTGTCCCTCAGCCCATCCATCGTTATCTCTGTCCAAGGTGGAGAAGTACATCCCAGACAAATCAGAGATGGAATCCGAAGTATTTAACATCTGGTCTCCTACAGAGTTAAAGGCTTGTTTGACTTATTGTAGTTGTCCTTTGCAAAATTATTTCACTCATATGAAACGATAGCAGATGTCGGTGATGGGGTTTAAATTTAGACCCTAAATGGACAATGAAACCTGTCGATACAAAAGGAGGGAGAATCTGTTCCTTCGTTACGCACTCGGTTCTTTGGTATCAAGTTGAGGGTCGTTCGGATGAGAGCATAACAACTGAGGTCCCCTGTCACCTGCAGGCATTAAGAAGCTTAAAGAACCCTCACTAATCAGTTGCTCTAAGTCTAAGTTTGAAACCATTCAGCGACATCTGGTGGACAACTCATATGATTGAAATATCTTACAAAGAACACAAAACTACATCAATCAATCAATCAATCTATCTATCTATCTATCTATCTATCTATCTATCTATCTATCTATCTATCTATCTTTATGTGTATTTGTGCTAAGCCTTAGAGTGTCCAAAATATAGTAAAGACAACTTGGCATAGCGACTTCTTATCATATGCAACCATTATTTTTCTACAAATAATATTTTCATCATATCTAAACTGTGTTCAGCGATCCCTGACGAACGCGATATGTAACTATCATTTTTGGTCCCAAAATAGTGTTTTGTTCTTTTCTTTCATCAATAATCTTGCATACGTAATTTTATCCTTAACACTTGTGAAGAGGTGTGAAAATGATAAAACAAATTTGCTTTTGGATTTTCCTTCAAAAATTAAATCTACAAACAAAACTATAAGGAATAAAAACATACGAATTTTCATTGAATATATTTTACCGAAAGAATTAAATGACTCAAAACTTATAATGAAGGACAGGGAATAGGAAAGCAAGTGAACTAGTACATGTAGTACTATTTATTGTTCAGTAATATAGTTTGAAATTGCTAAAATATGATTATCTGAGTTAAGAGACTACCTGCTCTTATGACCATTTTAGGATTTCCTCTTATAAATATAGGTCCGCTAATGAAGGTTTGACCGTATAAAGGAACATACTGAATTAACTCATTTTATTGGCAATTAGTTTTACTGAAACAAGACTGGTGTGATGAAAGCTTATGTATCCTTCAGAGTTTTGTGTAAATTTTGAAAATCAGAGCAATGTCATAAATTGAATTTGGCCTTACAGACAAACTGGTAAAGCATGGTAATATATTTTATCAGTTCGACTGTATTCTGCAATCAACAAACCTTTGTTATTCAGTAGAGTATTGCTCACTTTACTGTTACATATGCAAAAGATATAATATTTTCCTCTCTCTCTCTCTCTCTCTCTCTCTCTCTCTCTCACCTAATGTGCCCGTGGTATTTCCAGCCAGAAAAAGTCTATATTTTTCTGCTTCACTGAGAACAGAGAATCGTTCGTACAACTCATACAGTCTCCTTCCATCCTCGTGCGTGATGGAAACGTAAAGGTACGAGTTGTTTCCCTTGCTTAACTGATGAATAACCTCATTTCCTGCGATAAGACATATTCAATATCAATAGTTTATCATTATACTGCAATATAATTGCTTTTTGATTGGTTTGTTTAAAAATTACCCTAGGAAAGAATCAGTTTTAAAACTGTTGTATATCTGATAAATATTTAAAATACTTTATGTGTAATCATTTCCGTCATTTGTTGTCATTAAATAAGGAATTTTTTTTTTTTTTTTTTTTTTTTTTTTTTTTTTTTTTTGCTTAAATCTGTATATGTACGAATTTGAAAGATCACAGTAACTGAATATTGCGAACTCGTATTCAGTGTTTTTATAAGCGTACAAAATTTATTTATAAACTACAGGAAGGAATTAATCAAAATTAGATTTTAATGTAATTTATATTTACCAATCCAAAAATCGTGTTCCGGGGCACCAAAACCATTCTTATATTCTTCCCAGTTCCTGTTAAAGCTTACAGATCCAAGGACTCGTTTTTGGATAGTCTTTCAAGATACTAATTTATTTAATCATTAATCTGATAAACGTTTGTATGGTAAGTGTGTGTGAAATATTAAGAGTACAAGTTATTAATTATAGAAGAAAGCATGAATTATCTTATCATTATTAATTGTAATCAATTAAATGTTTTCTGTCGTTAACTAGCCCCTTGAACAGAAATTTACCAGATAACAATGACCATGTCAATTTTGAAGATTTAAAGATAAATCTTGATACCGTCCATCCTCCATTCAATGTTTCCATGTCGCAGTAAACTCTGACTGGATGTGAGGCGGTACAATAGGGATAAATTTCGTAAACACCGGAATTAGTCTGACCATTATCATGGAGGTCCTTACAATCAGTAGGAAAGACAACTGAAACAGAAAAAAGAATACTGAAACTGAATTTAATAAAGAAATAAAAGAGGGAGTCCTACTCTCGCGTACGTTTACAATGAAAATGATGAAGATAAGGAACAGTGTTTGATCTAAAAAAAAAAAAAAAAACTACAAACAATACAAATCTGTGAACAGGTCATAACACAAGGACCCCCAAAAATCTCAGATGTGGAATCAGAGGCCTAGGAGGAGTGAGCATCCTCTGTCGACCGGTCTCACCCGCTGTGAGTCATATGTATTCATCAGGTAATTAAAATATTCCGTGGTCAAATATCTTATAAAACTATGGGATAAGGAATTTAAAGGAAGATGCACTTTTATTTCTGGATTAAATGATTTGCTCTTTACCTAAAATATACGTAGTTGAAAACATAAATTCACATAAGTCGTTATGTCGGATGTTCACTTGTATTTCATAACATATTGTTACAATAGGCCTTCTTTTTCAAAATAAATTCCGTCCGTGATCGGGAGGTCGTGAGTTCGAATCTCGGCCGCGACTGACCAAAGTCGATAAAAATGGGTAGCGACTGTTCCTTCGCCATGCGCTCGGCACTTTGAAGTGAAAGTTGCGGGTCCTTCGAATGAGACCTTAAAAACCGAGGCCCCGTGTCACGGCAGGCTTTGGCACGATAAAGATCCCTCACTGCTCAATGGCCCTGAGTGCCGAGTAAAGGTCTAAATTTGAAGGCTATCACCGGTATATGGTGATGTCTCTATATGAGTGAAAAATTCTCGAATGGGACGTAAATCAACATACAATCAATCAATCAAAATAAATTGTCTTTGGATTACTCCGTTCACCAAATCAAAACGAAGAGTTCACGACAGGTCTGATCAGATCTGCGACAGCCCTGACCCGATCTACGACAGGCCTGACCAAATCTACAGGGGATGCATGAGATCTTGATCCAAACATTGATGTTTTTCAGGAGACCTTGTTTGCTGTGCTCACATATTGTAGCTTTTTATTTTGTTTTTTTTTTTTAATTTTTGAGCATGATAGTTATTCGTTTATCTTTACATCGCATTGTATACTCCGAAGATTGATCATGAATTTTCTCCTATTTCTTGCAGTAAGATATTTTGAGATATATCATATAACCTTTTAAGTGAAAAGCAAGGGAAATCCTCTTTGAAACATTACAAATGTGAAAATGTTGACAATTTTTTTTTTTAGTTTTAATTTTTGTTTTTATTATTTTGTTTCGCAAATTATTTCTAATTCATCGCAATTCTGCTTCAAATTGCACATTTGCTTATGAAGATTAAAAAAAGATGGGATGGATATTAGATTTAATCAATGTTGGAATCAGAAAATATCACACATAAAGGATATCAGAAAATAACACACATAAAGAATTTCACTGGCTAAAAAAAATATAATAAAAAAATAATAAGACTCGACAATATAATGATTTTAAAAATTACTTGGGAAATTAATCATAAAAAATAAATGGCGATATTGATAAAACTCCTTCACCCGCTACCCTTGCAATCTTCATTGATGTACTATATTAAGTGATTTGTCACAAAGATTATAGCAGAAAATGAGAAAATAAAATAGATCTCACAATCATGAGAGTAATATCTCCATCCGAGTTCTTTAGATTCCTCAGACCTGAAGACCTTCTTAGGTACACGGCACGTCTTCAATATGGGATTATATCCAAAGAAGCAACAGTACTCCTTATGACACTTTGCATGCACAGAACACTGACACAACGACTGAGCCGTGTACTCAGCTAACAGTTCGTTATTTGACTTTACATTATCAAATTCTAATTCTGCGTGATAATTCAGCGAAAAATTAAAAGCTTGAGACACCGTGAAGAAAATATCAATCAAATAAATAACCCAAAGATCCTTCATATTGCTTGACGTGTTTAAAACAAACTAATGCATTTTTAAATCAATTTTAAAATTATTTCAGCTGACAAATTAAATCAATGTTAAAATTATTTCAGTTGAAAAACTATACATAAGAGATTTATTTTCAATTGTGAAAATTGATTGGCTAGTTGTTATATATTATACACGATTGCTGAAACATTATTGGTTAGTTGATACGTATTAGTTGATACGTTGATATGGGAGGATGAAATGTAATTTTTGTAAGCCATTAGCTCGAGCGAATTAAAAATGCATGACTGTACATTAAGTAAATCTTGTTTAGATTTTAATCAACTTGAAAGGAAAAAAAATTATTAGCTATTAAGGGAATCCAATTAAAAATTCATGCGCATACATTTTCAGAAATTCTTGTTTAAATTTTAAACAGCTCTTTTCTCAGTAATGTAAAATGATATTATAGTAGGTAGCAAGAGCTGTTTTAATCATATGTCTTGAATTGTAAGATGAGGATTTCTATATTCACTATGACAGGTGGAAGTAATTTGATTTAGCAGAAACATATTATATAATTATGGGCTTCATCTCTAACCTAAATCACTTCATCTTTTAAAGAAATGAATGAAAAACAGTAGTTAACAAAGAAACCATGGAAGTCATACATAATCAAACTCCATTGCCATTGTTTCATGGAATAATTTAAGAGTATGAAGTTTTGAAGTTTAACTTTTCTTGCGTTTTTCTTTATTAGAAGATTATATATGATTATACATTATACATCCGAATTCCTTTTCTTGCCTACATGTAAAACAATCCTTTGAAGAATGATCTGAACAGATGTGGATAGACATTAAATGGGGATGGGGGCATTTTTATACCTCCAGTCTTAACCCGGCTGTCTTTAGTACAAGCTTGTAACAGTGAAAATTTCCCATGTGCAACTATGTCAAACTTTAACCTAGATTTTGATCCCACCTTTAGTAATGAATCCCTGATCTCAACAAATTTGAAACCAGACCAAAAATGATACCTGAATATTAATGCAGATAACTGTCGCCCTGTGGACTTAAGGTACAAGATATTCTTTTAAAAATTCTATTTGATCAGACTTTTAAAAATAATTTTAATTTCTGTTTTTGAGTAGAAGTTTTTGTTTTTAAAAAAGAGAGTAGTGTAAATCAGATGTAGATACTTAAAAGCTCCAAAGAACTTTTAGAAAATTTGAAACCACAAAATTTTACCAAAATCAATAACAACTTTTCAACATTTGATACAAGCATTCCTCAGGATAAATTAAAGTCCAGACATTTTGTCATCATTGACAGCTGCTTTTTCAATAAAAATAGAACTCGTGAATTTACTCACCTTGTCATTGGTCATTTGCAACATTATTTTGTAAATAAAAACATTTTGATTGTACACACAAGTATTCTGAAGCTGACATTAAAAAGATGCTTGAGTCTCTCATTAACAATATCTATGTAGTTTTTGGAGACCAAGTCCTCCATCAATCTGGCAGAATTCCCATTGGTACACATTCCGCCCAGTAATTAACAGATCTATTTTGTATAAATATGAAGCAGAATTTATCTATAATCTTATACATGAGAAGAAAACACTTGCTGAGGCCTTCAGCTCGTGATTTAGATAAACGTACTTGTTACTTCCATTCATATGTCGACTCGATTAATCCAGTGAGCTTGAAATAAAAGATACCAGATACCAGAATGTGACACATCTGTTTCATATTTGGATATTTTACTAGAAAAAGACGTTGATGGTAACCTAACTAAGCTTTATGATAAACGTGATGACTTCAACTTTTCAATCGTCAACTTCCCGTACTTATGTAGCAATGAAATATATTGAGATAACGAATAGTATTCAAGCTCAATAGTCCATTAAACATTACAAATAGGTGCAGAGCAAACACGGACCTCCAAAACATCAGAGGTGGGATCAGGTGCCATGGAGGAGTGAGCATCCCCTGCCGACCGGTCACACCCGCCGTGTGTTCCTTGTCATGATCAGGAAATAACGGAAAAATCTGTCGACATTCAGTGTGTAAATAATGACCTAACAATTAGTATGAAAAACGTCAGTCAGCATTTGACTCAATAATAAACTGTATTTGCTGACAAGTTCATTGTATCTGACACAACTATCATAAAATATATTAAAACCACAATTTTTGACATTCCTTATAGTGTATGTAGCAAGTATGTCTTTGATAAGTGTGGTTTTTCTCTGATAATTTTTTTTTCTTGAGTAATGCTTTATTTTAACACGCAGTTTTCAAATAAAATCCTGTTAACTAATAAATGTAAATATAAAATTTACTTTTTGTAAATCAAATTTCCCTAATATATGAGTTTATATTCCGCTGCCGTGATGTTTTTTCTGTTGCGTGTGTGTAAATCATCTTATTTATGATTACTTCATCTTAACGAGGTTCGCTCCTGAGCTTTTGAGCAGATTCTTATCTTAACCTATATTTCAAAAATTCTGCATAATTTTTTAATTCTTACAATAAATTTGGATTCTACAATGCCAATTTAACTATATTCAGTTAAAACTCCATGATTAAATTCCAAACTAAAAGCATTAAGTGAGGAACTTTATTTTGTGGCGGAAGGTTTTTTAGAAAAAAATGATCATTTTTTTCTCTTTCGAAGTATTTAAAGTATGTTAAGTATGGATTCCTATTTTTACATGCAGTCTGCACACATAGTTATTTTGTGCAGTGGACTGTTTTATACTGGTACTAAATTATCTATTAAATAAACTGTCATGAATTCTATCATCATATTTGATAAATATAGCAAATATATTGTGGAAATGAAGAAAAAAATAGCCCTAATTTAGGCTTAAAATTAGCACTATTTTAGTAATATCTAAAAATATGACATCACAGACCCCCACTTTTAATTTTCTTTTCTGAATAAATACGATACTTTTAACCATTCTTCTTAAATTCAGTAAGATGTCATTACTTTCAAATGATTTTTTTGCTTGTTAAATTATAATGCCAGAAAAATGAAAACGTTTGAGTGCAAAAAGGTCAAATAATTGAACATGCAGAGTAATTAGAAAATTTCTTCGTTGTTACAAGTTTTAATGTGTCTATTTAAGATTAAATAAGACTGTGTTTGTTCACCATAATTTATTTGAACAAAAAATATTGAAGGAAAAACTTTAAAAATTGATTTATGTGTAAGACGTATTTACAGTGCAAAAAGGTCAAACTAAATGCTCTGTAGCGCCAAAAGAAGCGCATTGACCCCCATTTTTTGTTTTGATTTTTAATAAAGCTATGTGTATAAATTCTAAAAATATACTTGATAAAAAATTCTCATTACTTTTGATGGCAGGATCCAACCTCCTTAATATCAATCACTTGTTTTAGTTAAATTATTTCCGGTATCAATAGTGACTTAAAACTAGCGATATTATTCCTTCAATACAATCCAATTATCGGGATATGTTAGTGTTAGTTACATGTATAAACATCTGTGTTCTGATGTATTTCATGTTCATCAATCAGAAATAAAACAAAAAAGAGGTTTTTGAGGAAATCGTTTTTATTAATCACCAATCCTGCTTGTCAAAACTATTATCTCCGCACAACAAATCCTCCACAATCCAAGAGTCGGTAGTCCAATCCCAGCAACTGGACCATGTGTTTTTAAAAGCTTCTTAAAACAACAACAACAACAGAATAATACACTTTTAGACAAGTTCTAATAAAGCCAGTTCGGGGCGACATCCGCTATTGCTTGCAATAGCAGACTTTCTAGTTGTTTTTTGTTGTTGTTGTTGTCACAGAGATGGTGAAAGTTGTAAGACTAATCAGACAAAAGAACGCAAGGCAAGTGATACATTTTATATTATCTCGTTGGTTAAAATGAATCAAACATCTATTTCTGACAAGAAAAGATAATAAAGATTTGAGCTTAAGGTTATAAACTACATTAATAAAATTTCGTTTAGATATACTACTGTCAAACCTCGCTATTTCGACTGAGATTAAACTTAAATTATCCGAGGATACGGGATATAAAGATTTAAAAAAAAAAAACAAGGAAAAAGGGACCGGCACTGCCTACTTTCTACATTTTCATGGTATTCGAGATATCAGTGTTCGATATAGTAGAGTTCAACAATCGTTAAATTTTCGCTGAAGTTATGCAGTGTGTATTTCTTACGAAAAAGTAAAGATGACGAGCAGTGACAGATCTACAAACAAATTTGTGAACAGGGCTTTAAGACAGACTCCTGGAAATTCCAGAGGTGAGATCGTTAAGCATCCCCTGTTGACTGATCACACCCGTCGAGAGCCCTGTGTATTGTATTGATCATGTAAACGGAACATTCCATAGTCAGATTAAGTATAAAAGAAAGGCTTAACAATTGGTATGAAACATGTCATTCAAAGAAGACGCTATGAAACGTTATATTTGTTAACAAGGTCATTATAACAACGATAGAATTTACGAAATGCTTACTTTAAATGAAGGTGCTGAAATTTCTGAAACATCAACTTATCTGTCAGTAGTGTGCCTCGGTTAAAAATCTTATCGTACTTAGAGCATTCTCTTAAGCAATAAATAAGTTGGAAGATATATTCACCATATGTAGATGATAGCGAAATGTTACTATGGAAATAAGGAAAGTTAAAAGATGGAAAAGCTCATGACATCTCGTATACAATTAAGTTATTAATTGGCCTTTGTCTTAATGATGGTAAGAGGTTTGTTTGAAAAATTTGTCATTACCATATTGGTAAATTACCATTTTACCTATCCATATCAATAGATTGTAATGAATACACACGTCATATTTCATATTAAAAGCACAAAACAACCCTCTTGAGGAGAAATTTTTCAAAACGTCAGTTTGGTTGATTTTTGCATTGGAAGTGATTAAATCAATAAAGAACGAGAAAACGGTGTAAACTTTAAAATTATATACCCAATAATTAAATAAATGCTTTAATTTCAAAATCATATAGCATTATCTCC